AAAGGAATTTTTATTTCCAGTCTGTGTTTTAAAACATATGCATATTATACGTTATATTTAATGTAAAAAGGAATTTTTATTTCCAGTCTGTGTTTTAAAACATATGCATATTATACGTTATATTTAATGTAAAAAGGAATTTTTATTTCCAGTCTGTGTTTTAAAACATATGCATATTATACGTTATATTTAATGTAAAAAGTTTTTTTTTTATTTCCAGACTGTGTTTTAAAACATATGCATACTATACTGTTATATTTAATGTAAAAAGTAACTGATAGCTAGAACATACAGTGAACACAAGTGAATATTTTTATTTTATATTTAAAAAAATTAAATGTATATATTTTGTAACTTTTACTACTACATTTAATATAGTAATAATAATAATAATAATGATGATAATAAAATAAAAAATAATCAGTATGCTCATATGATAGAAATAGAAAAATGATATTTCTGCATATTTTAGCTTTGAGAATAGGGTTCCATTCGTCATCGCTCTAATAACTGTTGAAGTGTTAATGTTATCATATACTTGTGTCTTGTGTCTGTCTATATTCTACAAACTAAAATGTTTGTACTGCTCCAAAAATATTTAGCAATGTGCTACATACATTTTATTGTGTTAAACATAGATAAATATATTTGTGTTATTGTAATATTGTATTTTGTATTTTGTTAATAACTTAAATTAATATTGCTATTGTTTTAAGATTCACCAGAATAACATATTTTATTACATAATATTACCAAACAATTAATGAGTACCTAAAATTAAAAATATATAAGTCAAACCTCACATTACATTAAGAATATTTATGTACATTAAAAAAAAATAGAAAGATATAAATGCATCAAGTTCATTTTGATTACATATTAAATGACACACTGAAGGTGGTATAAAACCTAAAGTATGTTTCTTAACAGTTACTTAAGTAATTAAGTTTATTTTCCACACCCATAAATGTATGGTTTATTTATTTTCTTTATAACCTAAAAAAACTGCTCACTTCTCACATCGAGTCCAACATTTTCCCAATTGAATCCAAGTAGAAAAATGTATACATATGAGTATTTTTTGCAATTTGTGATCTGTCTCACCAATAAATGTAAATGTCGCCTTTATTTGTAATTCATTAAAAGGATACTAGCCATGTTAAACAACATTATTTTTCCCCATCAAGCTATATGGTATCGAGCCCCTTGGCATTTGCCCTTTGGCCGGATGCTGTCAGCTTTTTTTTTTCCCGTGTCTTCCCCTTTTAATCCTTCATTCATTTTTCTTGGAATGCATTCCTAGTTTTCTTTGTCACTTGTACAACGTCTTTGTACTTATGCTGGCTTTCCCCCGGGGGAGTCCTACCTGTTGTTAGCCATAAATTAATAGATTTTTATACAGTGAAACAAACTGAGACTTGTATTGTTTATATAGAGAGTGTCTTGGAATAGACTTATATACATTGCAGGGTGTTAAGTCATTGTCAGTGAATGTGGGAGAGATATCTTTATAAACATCTACGGCTACAAGGGAGGACATAATGAGGTTGAAAATGCTCAATTTATTGGCATACCCTTTAAGACTCCCCCTACAATGGATCAGGAAATGGTGACGTGTCTATGGACACATTGTGACCTCTGCAGACACCCCTTGACCGATTCCAGGGGAGAGACCATTGGGCGGATTTGGGTTTTCCTTTACCTAGATAAGGCCCCAGTGCCGTCTCCTGAGTGAACAAACATTCAAATATTATTCATATTCATGGTAAATATCTTTCATAAATTAGATCTAGTCCCATCTCGTGTTAGCCCGAGGGCCTCCGTACACTGGAGAGTTCAATCTCATCCTACCGAGCATTTTAAATTGCTCGTCGTGATCACATTTTGCAACGTCTTGACGTCGATGAGCTATAAATGAGATAATTGCCGATATACGGTTACATTTAATTCACGAAGAATTCTAATCCACAATTTCTTCTGCTTTTCAGGCGGTAAAATTAATCAATACATCCACTTAGAATGAAGACAGAAAACAGCCCATCCTCGTGCCGCGAACATTCATCGTTCCTTGAAATCGGTAAGTGGCCGGGATTGGGGGCTCTGGTTTGGATGGATACCTGTTCAGCTCAGTGACTTAGATCAATGGAAAAGACGGCATAGGGTTAAGAGCCAGGCAGATAGCTTTTTTCACATGGAAGTCAGGAACATTTATTTTCCCCCACGGTGTCCAAAGTCCTTTGAATGATGCATACAGCCCTTGTTTGTTGGATTCACAATGGAAGCAATAACATAGGCGTGACTTCTATATTTAGGAAGCACATAGGCTGCACTTGCTGACCTCTCTCTCCAAAAACGACTTCGTTACTTTTTAAGTCACTGACTCGAAACAAGTATCAGGAGTTCTAACTTTTGTGATCTGCATGCTTGTTGCAGGTCGGTGTCTAAGGACATAGTTCCCCCGTAGATGGCCAGGACGCTGGTATTTACGAGGGAGGTCTACAATAGCAGCCTCCAAATTTCTCTCAGTACGGGTTTCCTTTAAGACGGAAAGTCTTAAGATAACATATCACAATTTTTAGAATTTGAGATTATTTATGTCAGTGGCGTCACTAGGGCGGTGCGGGGGTTGCGGCCGCACACGGGTGACACCATTGGAGGGGTGACACCAAAATGACTGACAGTCATTTTGGTGTCACCCCCTCTGAAAAGTTGAGCACTCGGTCATGGACCGAGAGCCCAACAGTTGCAGGAGAGAGAAGGGGATCCGGCAGGCATACTTTATCCCGCCGGGTGAACGCCCCCTCCTCTCCCTGCCGGCGTCCATCACCAAGATGGCCACCGGCAGGTATCACCAAGATGGCTGCGCATGCCCGATGACGTCACCGCGCACACGCGTGGTGACGTCAGGCACATGTACGGTGATGTTATGGAGGGGTGTCACTAAGTCGAGCCGAAGGCATGTGCTTCGGCTCGACTGAGCCGAGGTGAAAGCCGAAGCTGGCCGACCACCAGCCTACTTCTAACAGCTCCAGCCACTTGCAGAGAGATCAGCGTCCCTGGTTACCAGCTAACCAGGGACACTGATCTCCAGACAGCCCAACTCTCCCGCTCCCGGCCGCCCAGGAGAGAAACACTGCTTTTCTTATTTTTTTTATTCTGACACGGAGCCGTTGGCTGGCGTCAGAATAAAAAATGTAAGAAAAAATGTCACCATAGGAATGCATTGTTAGATTCCTATTGGCTATTTCAATTTGCAATAGCCAAGAGCAAACCAGCTATTTTGCACCCGCCCACTGCTGCAGTTCTCCATCAGGTCCCCACTAGTGATTGACAGCAGCAGAGGGCGGGTGCAAAATAGCTAGTTTGCTCTTGGCTATTGCAAATTGAAATAGCCAATAGGAATCTAACAATGCATTCCTATGGTGACATTTTTTTTCTTTCTTTTTTTTTTGACGGCAGCAGAACCGCCGGCCTATAGAAAACAGTTGGGCTGAGCTAGCTGCGACTGCTAGCTCCGCACAATCGTTTTCTATTTTTTTTTTCTCCTTTTTTAACTATTTTTCCGTTCTGCTCGGTCCCACAGAGGGACCGAGTAGAACTGCCGAGCCGATTGCCGCTCAGCAGCATTCGGCTATTCACTCACTGCTGTTCGCCATCTATAAGAATAGACCGAACAGCAGCGAGTAGCCTGCAGGAGGTTCGGCTTAGCCGATCCAGATGTTGGATCGGCTAAGTCGAACTCCTTCTGCACTTCTGGTCGGCCGACCGACCCGAAGCCACCCGATGTACGGCTGAAATTAGCCGTACAAACCTGAAGTGAATAGCTGAACAGCGTTCGGCTCACTTCACTTCAGGTCGGTCGTTCACTCAGCTGCCTATGGCAGCTTAGTGAATAGACCACATATAGTTAACTAGAAGGGTTCCAACAATGCAAAAAGTTATTCCCATTTAATATTAATCCCACATCGAAGACAGAAAAAGTTTGGGGGTTTTACATATACTCAAATCTTGACTTGTAGAGGAACCCAATCCCCCTTACACAACATGACTCCCTTATCCATCTACTGCGTGGTTGTTACAAGTATTAAACTCAGATGTAGTCAATCAACTATCGTTTTCAGGAAGGAGTTCATCAATGGGAGTCTGCCTGGTTTTCTTAGCACAGGTTTCCTCGGAAAGTTGGAAATGGGCCGGGACACCACCCATGGTTAGTTTTTTTGTCAGTATGATTGATTATAGATTACGCCGCGAGTTCATCACCATTTCCAGGAACAATAAATTCCACTTAACGCCAAGAGTTTGAAAAACTACAAAAACTGCAGCTTGGAAGAGGCTGAGACGGTGATGAAGTTGGCTTTCTGTCCAAACACCAAATATGGAGCCTGCGCCACTAGCCCTAGACCCCAAGCCGGGGGGTTCAGCCTTTTTCTGTAGAAGATTCAGATTGACCTTTGGAGCATTGTTTCATTCACAGCTCTGCTTTGAATACATTCACAATTAATATATGGCTACAAGGAAATGCCGGCCACACACGGCGAGTCTCACGGTTGGACCGAAATCTAACAATTGTGAAGTGTTGGAGTTTACATGACTGGGTATGATCTAATACCCAACGCCAGCCAAAACCCTTGCTGGGGGGGTTAACGTTTTTAACCTCTTGCCGTCCGCCCGTAGTAAAAAAACGGACGGACGGCACTGCAGCATCTGCGGGTTGCCGTCTCCAGACGGCAATTTTTTTCTGCTCGCGCGCGCCCCCTAGCGGGCACGCACGGGCAGAAAAGACCCGCTAAATGCACACACCCGTTACCGGGTGTTTCACATATAGGCGATCGGCGGGTCCATAGCCCGCCGATCGCCTATATGTGCTCGTTCGCGGCACCCCCCCCCCCAGGGTTGTTATCCCCCTATATAATAGCAATACCAATAAGTGCAAAAAAAATAAATATAAATAAAAAAAAATAAAAGTAACACATAAAAAAGTAAAATAAAATAAAAGTCACATATAAAAAAAGGGGAAAAAACCCCCCCAAAATGTTTAACTCCCCCACCCCCACGTTTACGCGCCTATAAACGTAAATACGCGTCCGGTGCCCCAGCGCGCAAAAATTACAATTGCGCTACACATGTTACATATCGCCGCGAACGTCGCAGTGAGAGCAATCATTTTAGGGCCATCAATCACTGATAACACTAAACTGATGAGCGGTAACAGCTTTTAAAGCGTCGCCTATGGCCAATTTTGGGTATTATCGTTTTTTGAGGTTTCGCGCGCGCACGCAATTTTAAGGCTTGACATGTTTAGTGTCTTTTTACCCGACGTGACCCCATCTTTTATATTTTACCAAAAAATTGGGTAATAATAAATGTTTTATCATTTAATATAGGGGAAACTGTTTTTTTTTTTTAAATTTCGGTAATTTTTCCTTAATATAGTAAAAAAATAAAACCCCCAGTGGTGAATAAATACCACCAAAAGAAAGCTCTATCTGTCCCCAAAAAAGGGTATAAAATTCATTTCAGTACAGCGCTGCATGACGGAATAAATGTCAGTCAAAGTACCGCAGCGCTGAATACTGAAAAATGGCCTGGATGGGAAGGGGGTTTAACACCGCGGATGTCAACTGGTTAAAGTGCACCTGCACCCAGACAATTGAGGATTTACATGATCTTAACAAGCAGTAAAAGATTTTTTAAGCAAGCTATCCCTGGCCTCTATAGCTATATGTACGGTGAAGTCATTAATTCTCTAATTTCCTCAAAGATCACCACAAAGGCTCTAAAGTTGGGTTTTAGTTGGTTCCTAATGGCTTAAAAATATCTGCTGTGTGTTTATATTAGAAGAATGGGAGGATGACCACCTTTCTGGTGAAATAGAAAATACTTACTTAAAGGAGAACTATGAGGTGAGTGACTTTCACTCAACCTCATAGTTCGAGCCGACGCGTGGCAATGAAACTATTCGCTCACTTCTCGATCCTGTCCCTGTAGAGAGCCGTGACTGTCACTCACGGCTCCCTGCAGGGATTCCCCCACCCCTGTCCGATCCTCCTGCGCTGTCTGGCGGGAACGGATGGGGGATGGGCGGATACAGCTGGCTCTGCCTCTAGATAGGCAGAGCCAGCTGTCAATCATGAAGTTGTGTGGATCCAGACAGTAATGTTGGGTCCGTCCCGGCTGTGGCGTCTCAGTATACCGCGAGCTGTAGCTCCCTATATACTGAGCTTTGGGTGACGGGAGGGCGCTAGTTTGTGTCCTCCCGTGACCCTGAGGAGTACTATGGGGAAAAGCCCTGACCCCATAGTTCTCCTTCAAAACGCCAAAACATTATATATTTTCTGAAAGCCAAGACCCTGTAGAATAAAATGTTGGCTGTTGCCAATTTTTTATGTTGCATGATTTTAGCACAACTCCTTATCAAACCCCAACATTGTGTAAAAAATGCACTTAAATGCCCCAAAACACAAAATAATACCCATTTTTATACTAAAATATGAAAGATGAGGTTACAACAAGTAAATAAATACTCAACATGCCCGGGTTAAAAATGGTGTCCGTTTATGAAACTGCGACAAAATTCAGTACCCCAAAAAGTCCCTAGACAACGCTTTAAAACCCTCCGCAGGTCATCATTTTAGAGATACGCATAAATATTGGCCCTAGAATTATTGCTCCCACTCCGGTGTGTGTGGCGATACCCAACATGTGTAGCGAGATCATCATTTTCATACGTAGGCGCATCCGACGTGTGTTTACGTGAATGCACTCTGGGGCGGGGGACTTTAACAATTTTTTAATTATTATTTATTTCATTTAATATTAATTTTAAAAACTGTTTTGTTTTTTTTAAACTGTATTTTAATTGCTATCACATAGGAGGGCTTACAAGCACCCCCATGTGATAGCATATTGTCAGCCCTGCCCCTGAGGGCTTACAATCTAAAAGGGAGGGGCCAGTGATACATGAGGAGGTAGCTGTGTGGGGATGATTGTTTGAGAACGTGATGGTTGAGCGGTTAGGTTGAGGTGGGATAGGCTTCCCTGAAAAAATGAGTCTTAAGGATCGCCTAAAGGCAGTCA